GCTCGCAGGTTGCAGGGAAGGGATGATGAGTATTGCATCGGAGTGTTGGTGTGTGCTCAGAGTGGCCGGATTCTGCAACCCGAATACCTTGGGGCAAGTGACTGGTTATCGTGTATCGGGCCATAGCAATGTGTCGGAGGATACGCAGATTGAGTAAGTCGACCAATGCAACACGCATGTGGTTACGGAAATGTAGGTACGTGACGACAGGTTACCTGTTGCAAGTGCTGATACACAGACCCGACGATGTTCATCTTTTCACCCACATTGTTCTTGATGAAGTAGGAGGATGAGTGCTGTTCTGTGGTATTTAGTATATAAATATTTATATGCCAATATTGGAGTTGCATTTCGCGCACGCCCAACAACTGCGTGTATGTTGGCACAAACTAGTCGTGCCTTCGTTTCACGCTTTGTTGATTGGTTCTCAACCTGTACATTTTTGGCTACGTTGAAAGAGGAGAAGCTAGAGTTGAGATTCAACCCTTCTCCGCGTGCTATTCCCCATCACCCGTTTAACGTGAAGTGGTGTAATACTCTGTGAAAAACCGGATATTGGCGATATGCAGTAGTCGTGAAATATGTTTTCATATCAGTAGGGTGAAACTCCATTATTTTTAGAATTTAGTAATATCCACTTGATATTTATAAAATGTTATGCTTATATTGGAGTTTCACCCGTTTTACGCGAAATGGCGTAATGCTCTACGTGGAAAGCGGAGGCGGTATTGGCCACTCAGGTGTTTTCATCGCGTGAAGTGAAATGTGAAATGTGTTTGTCACTAGTGTTTTTCATATCACTGAAGTGAAGTGGTCAGGTCCACGAACGAACTTTGGATTCGGACTTCCTGAGTTTGATATGCAAGCGACTGTTGTTGAGGCCGGAGAACGGTGACACGAAATTGGTTATTATGAGTGCCACTTTGAATTCGGATCTGTTTTCACGGTATGGTATCGCTCGTGTCGCGATAGGAAGGGAAGTTATGTCAGGTACTTTGCTGACTTGAATAACAACTCGCCACCCAAAGCGATCACAATCCAAGGCCAGAGGTTCCCTGTTGACGACGTGTATCTAGATGATATGCTACAGGACGGAGAATTGGGGGACGAGGCGAGGAAGGCTAAGGAAGAGTTTGAGAAATTAAAGGAAAAGATGTGCGACTTCGACGTGGTCGTTTTTATCGTTGCTGACTTGGTGATAGGAGGAGTTTCACCTGTGATGTGAAAAACACTATTTCATATTTCACGAATTTGAAAAGCGCTATGTAAGCAGTGAATAACGCGTAAAACACGTGATGTGTTTCACGTGATATGGGATCATTTGTTCAGTGTACTTCATATTGCGAATATCGCGTTTTTTACATGGAATGTTACGTCACTTGACGTAAAATGGGTGAAACTCCGGGGATATTAGGATCCTTGGAAATCTTTCTGAAATGTCACTGGTGGATGTTTTTCAGTCAAAGTGGCCGAGATGATTATGGATTTGCTACCGGAGGAGGGGAGATGCCGCCATGGGAGGATGATATCAACAGGAGAGCGGAGCTGTGAGTGTCGAGAAGGGCAGCATCGTGTGGCAACAACGGTGTTGGAATATATATTCGCTACCCTCAGCTGAGCTTGTTACCGGGGTTTTTATATGGAGTGGGATAGATGTACAGAAACCAATGATAATTTTCCTGAAATTTCCTCAAAAATTTCATGTCGACCTTGTGCATATTTTCGGAGATATACTTAACTTTTTTGCATTTCTCGAGATTTGTTGTTATATGGATGCTCAGATATAAGCCCACTCAAGACTTGCTGGTCCATATGCTGCTGACCAGGGCGAAGCGTGGGAGTACGACACTGGTTTTTGTGCCGGGTAAAGGGGAGATAGATTCTGTTATGGAGGATCTGGAGCGAGCTTGCAAGGTTGGATGTCGCGCGCCCCGAAATTAGTGATAATAATTCTACGCTTAGGTGCCAGTCCAGATCTCAGAATACGTTTGTGACTATGACGAGACGTTGGAGTCTTTGAGGCTGCCGTTTGGGACGGTGTATATACGGTAGGCGCCTTGCACCGTTCATGTTGACTTATTTTCCGTAGAGTATTCCCCTTACACTCGAAGTTGACTAAGGATGAGCAGGATAGAGCGACACAGCAGCCGATGCATGACGAACGCAAAATCGTGAGCATAGCCTTCTCTTGGGGTTGTACTGTTCTAACGCATGTAAAGTCTTGGACTTTCGTTTCACTCAGGTGCTGGCCACGAATATTGCCGAGTCGAGTCTGACAGTATTGAATGTCGACTTGGTCATTGATACGGGCTTAAGGCGAGAGAATGTGTAAGGGTGTAGAGCGTGCTGGTGTGGTTTGACGGTTTTTCAATCAGTTTTGACCACGAAAGGCAGGTGTACAAGTTGACCCACACTTGGTGTTCGAAGGCTAGTGTCAGACAGAGGTAAGGAAGTTGGTAACTGCTAGGCTGTTTTGATGTGCGCGAGCCTTCAGGGCTGGTCGTACGGGGCGGGTGTGTGCGGGGACGGCAGTACGGTTGTTCACGAAGGAGTTCCATGACCAGTACATGGACGAATATGACAGGCCTGAGATCCTATTCACGGACTTAACGACGTTGTTCCTGCAAGCAAAGTAATAGAGGCTCTCCCAGGGTGGGGAAATACTGTGCTTGCGTTTTTCTCATGGAAATGCATTGAAATTCGATTTCTCGGGTAATACGGCGAATATTCATATAATCTCTCAGCACGATGAATGTATCCATATAAGAAGTATACGCTAGGAATTCGGTTGGCTATGCTCAACTACATGTGTTGGTGACGATACGGGATGTTTGACGAAATTCGGGGGAAATCTTGTAGGTTTTTGGAAAATTCTACCTGCATTAGTGTATAGTGAGTGAGCTCAGTGAGGAAAGGGAGCATATATTCCGACGCTGGGCTCTCCTTTGGCATTTTGGTGGGGTTGATATGCAGGTACGTGACTGAGTTCTGTAAGGAGGCGGCTCTACCATCGTATCTGTTCGATGCAAAGCACCAACAGTTGCTGAGCGCGCAGGAAAAGAATAAGACTGCGGCGGGGTCGTGTAAACCGTCGGAGTTGCTGCAGGCATTGATAACGCCACCGAGGCAGGAGAACGTTAGAGTAAGGCTGGGTGGAAGGAATTACGGTAGGGCAGGTGGTGGTGACAGGCCGCTGTGGTGGACTTATTCCATGCTGGCATTCTGCTTGAGAAGCCTGATGAGCTGAGTCCGCTGAGTTTGCTGGGAACTCTGGCGACGAGGTGAATAGTGTGGGAAATTTTGGAAGGATGTCGAGTGGCTTTTTCAGACTACACATTGATGCACATGTGACGCGTATTGTCTACTACTCGTGGCTGATGGGCATCCCGGGCGAGGGGATACTTTTGGCGGCGGCTTCAGTGCAGGATGGCGATGTGTTTCGCTTCGCCACTCGGTGAGAGGATCCGGGTTCGATCCCCGGTAAGGGCGTTTAATGCAGGTATCAGCCTGGGTATGAGGACCGCTATAGAGGCGACATGGAGAGCTCTTTTTGGTGGCGTATTCTCTTCGATGAGGGTGCCTTTAGCGAGCCTATAATGTTAAGGCGACTTCTCGTGAAGTACATCGAGGTAAGCTGCCAGCTGCAGCTGAGTAACAGTCGCACTGCGTATCAGGTGGGAATAGCGGCGGGCCAAGAAGCAGGATGTGGCGGGTCTACGGCTGAGAGGATATTCCATAACAAGTTGAGAGACGAGTCGTGGTATCCGGCGGCTGTGAATCTCCAGGCCTTTAACAGCCTTGTCAATTCGGCAAGCAAAATCTGCCATGTAAGATCAACCTCTATTATCACGGGTGGCCGACTTTGTCCAAACCGGGCAGAGGGAACCAAAATGACCACACGATAGAGAATTTTCGGTGTATTCAGAATCTGGAATTATTTCTGTTTTATCACTGAGTGTGATAGACCAGAAATCGATTACGCGTTCAGTGTATGTTTTTCTCAGGATTTCTGCAGTTGGTTGAGCGATGACATAGGGGATAAGACTACTCTTGTTATGCTCGAGAAGCTCGATGGGCATTTACGGGGAAATCTGGCCGTACTCGATATGGGCGTATTCCAACGTGAGTCAACTTGCAACAGCACATTTTATATTCAACTTTGGTGTTGCAGAAATGTTGGCTCGAGAGGTCGATGAGGCGAAGAGTCTATTGTGCATGGGTTGCAATAATAGGGTCATCACGGGAGAGTACTCCCAGCGATTGGTGATACTGGGTGTGATAATACATAGCTCGACGGTCTGTGTAGTAGTAGAGTAGGCTAGTGTGCGCGTAACAATACGACCAAATGATCAACTACACATGTTGGTGGCAATATGGAAATTTCAGTGAATTTTTTTTCAGATCCTGTGTAAAATTTAACAGTGAGTCAACTCCTGAGCTCAGCTGTCGACGATGACGATATCACTTGTCATTATCTGTTTAGGACCCCAAAATCGAGGAGTGCGGAGATTTGGTGAAGTTCGAGAGGCTACCACAACAGCTGGTGATGAGACAAGAAGACGCCTACGCGACGTCTCGGCATGTAAGCTTTTGCATATCCCTCATAGCGCCTTGAATGTGATACCTTTTCAGAACACCCCGATGCACCAATTGGTCTTGAAGTTGACGGGCAAGGCGCCTGCTGGGGGAAATGCTGATTATAACGGCAATGAACACAGCTTTGAGTTCCAGCCTGGAGAGGACAATCGTTCGGTGGACAAGAACATTATGATGCGGGACTCGGAATTCCAGTTCATCGCTCCTGTGTCGGTGCGGCTACTGCAGGCCTTCTATGATGGTCGATACCAGTGCACGGTGAAGCCTGACAGAGCGACATGGTCGGACTGGGTGAAATTGAAACGGCCGCTAATTCCCAACGTCATTCGGTGGCGGAAATACTACTCGGACACGCCGGACATGATATCGGCCTCGAGGGTGAACTCCCAGTTCCATGTGCAAGTGTCACCGAGGAACCCTCCGGGGTGGCTGGGCAGCAAACCCAGCATGTCGTCACCTGCATCGGGGTCGGGGTCGGGGCCGGTTGACCGCAGACCGACGGACGTGGTCGAGGGTCCTGAGCTGTATTGGGGTATAGTGGGGAAGATTCAAGCGTCGTCGAGTCATGGGGACAACAGGAGGATCAACGACGCTCGGGCTGATGGAGTCACAGTCCTACCCTGTCGGTGTCGGAATCGAGTGGCGATGGTGATGCTCATGGCCTTCTTGCCGTTCCGTCACGGCTTGGCTGCTAAGGTGAGGGGCATCTCGGTAAGTGTGTCGTAATGGGGTCGTTGTTAATGCTAGGTTGACGGGGCTTGGAAGATAACCCACCTCCGTCTGGCTGGGGATGCATGGCGTGTCGTGCATCCGATGGGGCCCATCACAGGGGAGATGCTGGCGAGAGTGGCCAAAGTCCGAGACCTTATGGCAGCTGTAGGGAGTTTTTGCCTTTCCATTGGAATTGTCGTTTCAGTCGGTATTACTGCGTGGCCGTGACTCGACGAAGCGGCGAGCTGACACGTCGGTCGTTGTGAAGTCTGTGGTGGACGAGGAGGACCTCGAGGCTGAGAATGTCGAGCTCTTGCAAGAGGCAAGCGCAGTTTCTTATTCTGGAGGAATATATGTTGTTACTGGCAGGTTAGAGCTGTGCAGAATCAGCTTAGGGACGCAGTACGAGATATGATAAGCTTGGCATCGTCACCAACTCCGCCGAGGCCTCGGGTCACTGGTCGTGAGAAAGAGCTTTGGCTGGTGGATCCATCCCCCGCGAACATCGCTCGCCGTATGGAGCCCAACTTGAAGAAGTGCCGACTGCTTGTCCAGGCGCTACCAACCGGGGAAGGTGTTGTTGCTGATGCCGGCACGTCCCTTATGGACTTCTCGGATCTCACCGATATAGCGCCGGCACCGTCGAACCCTTGGAAGATTGACGACCCAGCTGATGTTGTTGTTGATACTCCTGCTATCGCCGCTGGAACAGCTACTACTACGTCTACCGCTCGTGACGAGATTGCTGCGACCGAGGTCACTCTTGCCAAGGAGGAGGTTACGGCGACACCAGCAGACGATGATGAACAGCGTGTATCGAGCGAAGCGGTGGCAAGTATCGAATCCACGACTAAGCAGGCCTCTATTTCGGCTGATGCAGTAGAGAGTCTTTCGACGCCCCAAGCGGCTGATTTGCCTGCCAGTGTCACGCCTAGTCCGGAAGACACTGCGCCTGTCGCTACCGTTGCTGAGGAGGCCTCTGTTGATGTTGTCGGAGCAGATGAGGTCGCAGTTGATACGCCCACTCACCCGGTGGAAGAAATTGAGCTACCTCCTTCTCCTCGTATAGAGGAGAAGCCAGAAGTTGCCGTCCCACAGAAGAAAGAGCATCCGGTTGCCGATCCAGTGCGACAGCCGCAGGGTGAAAAACTATCACCTCGGGAAAAGCCAACGTCGGACCCCTCGGGTGCATCTGCAGTATCTCTCGTGGCGAGGACAAGGAACGAATCAGTTGCGGATTCCGAATTCGAGTCGTGCATTTCTGAAACAGAGATCAAGGAGACTCAGGCGCTTCTCGGTGGTGTGGGAGTCCCTTCGTCCTCCCGAGCCATCCAGCCTGTCGCCTCCCCCTCACCCCCGTCTCCGCGACCCCCGGTGGTGAGGGAGAGTTCACCACCGGCACGAGAAGCTCCTCGGAGGAGGACGCCGCCTGGTGCTCCACCTGGCAGGCTGATCGCTGCAGTAGCAGCATCACCGTCAAGGCCACAGGTTGCCCCTGCTCGGTTGGATCTGGAGCAGATAGTGCGTACGCAGCTGGGTGGTAGCTCTGGTGCAGCGTATCGACAAGGCCTGGCACGGCTTGACACTCTGGGGTGGAAGAGCTCAGAACAAATGGACCATATGAATTCACAGTGGGACATTTCGAAGTCTCACGTTCCGAAGGCGGGGGCAAATGGAGTTTTGAAGCGAATTAAAGTACTCCCTATAAAGGGTCAGGACGAGCGAATCTTGATGGCCCCTCGAGTCGATGCGGCGTTGAGGATTTCGTCGTCTTCGAGGGGCGAACAGCCACCAGTGGGGCCACTGAGTGGATCGAGACGGGAACCTCCTGGGAGGCCGGCGTACTTGGTGTCGAAGTCTCAGGGCAGTTCGAATGCGCCTGTGGAGACTTCTAGACAGGCGACGATGGCTGGTCGGACTTGTCCCCGGATGAGCGACGAGATGGTGCAGCAACTATTCAGAAATGTAGCACTATGTGATGCCTATTGATTTGTATGGTATGTCGTGATCCACTTCTCTAAGGAGCGTATGTTCATCTTGAGCAAATTCGCAGTTTAGCATTTCACGCTAACAAGTAGTGTTAGTAAGTGACTACTGCGCAGATCTGTTCTAGTGCTCCAGCAGTCGATGCTTTTGTTGCCTCAGGCTGACTTGGCGGTGACGAAATACGAGGCGACCAGGGAGGCGATACTGGCAGAGCGAGACCTGGAGCTTGATCGGATCATCTCCTCCTCGGCCAGGAATATACGGAGCTTAGTTGACGAGAATGGCTTCCTCTACTAACGACGCGAGCTCCGGTTCGAGCGCCTCTTGCGGAAAATCGCTATCACGTATTCTCTCACTTGAAAGTGATGATGAGGACGTTGTGACCGGTCATCACTATTACTCGAGTGATCGTTCGTTTCCTTCCGATTACATTATCTGAGATTCTCTAGCGAATTAAGCGTTGTGTTATGAAGTTGCGGATCACCGAACGAACATAACCCCTAGTGTGAATCTTTCTGATTGTGTCGGTAACGTTCTCAAATAAGACTTCGGTGATACTGGAGTTGTCACGCTGGCTTGAGATCCCCGGTTCGAATCCCACTGGAGACAGTTCTTCGTCATTTTTTGTGCACAGCGATCTTACTAGCTTGTCACTTCCC